GGCAGATGGACTATTCTGACGATGTCTTTCATACTTTTCTGGACCTTGACAGTGTAATTTACTTTGCAGTCAATGGGACAGTCACAAGCCTCCCGGTTTTCATCCAAAATATCTTAAATTGTGTTCTGAAGATGAACGAAGCTTTTACGGGTTTGGAACAACATGGGGGTAAGTGATTAATGACAAAATTTTCATTTTGGGGTGGAGTAACCCTTTAAGCTATGGTATGGCTTCAGAAGTAACACAGAATAATGTGCACAATCTCAGATTTGGATCGGCCCTCTCTGACCGATACCCAATCCGACAAAAAATGCCAGTATCGGAGCCGATACCCGATATGAGTATCGGATCGGCGCGTCCCTAGTATATTCATTTCGGAAGTTGTCCTGTGATAAGTGGGATAATGTACAGTTAGCTGGTCATTATCACTTGATTGTTTTGCAGTAATGCCTGGCTGACTCTGACATATGAGCAGCAGTGCTGATTATGTGATGTCTGAAGAAGGAATATATCTGCTGGTTGTGTTTCAATGCATGTTGTTGCATGCAACTCGTTCTGTCCAGAGCCGGAGTGACAGACAAGTGCGTGCCATCAGTGTGTTTGACTTTGAGCTTGAGTTTGGATCTGATGCTGCTGTACAGCAGTTTGCATCACACGGGGAAGTCCAGCGCCTCTGTTTGGAGTGGGGGAGGGAACTGACTCACTCGAGGGTCAAAGGGCAAATGAGAGGAGTTTTTCCAACCAGCTGCTCACAGTGGAATGCTTTATTAACTTCGTTAGAGGCGATCAGTGTTTCAGATTAAGAATTAGCCTGCTGATGAGGCCAGATGACCTCAAGTGTATTTGGACACATAAGTAGAGCCCAATGAAATCCATTTGGATTTTTCAGAAATTCTGTTTTTCCGTTTTAATCGTTCTGGATTCAATTTTAATGGTTTTTATTAGGCTTTCAAAATCAAAAGGTCTTTATAAAAACTTTAACAATTTAATAATCTGTTAATGTTAACAATAATAGGGCCTTATGAAATGTGTTTTACTGTTTCAGAAATTCGTTTTTCTGGATTCTTTGATTTGAGTTATGATTTATCACACAAATGTATTATTAAATATGATAATACAATTCAAATAAATGCATAAAAGTGTAACAGTTTTTCTTTTTAAAGTGTTTTGGGTTCTGTTTTTGATGGTCAATTAAATTGTAATAATTAAAAAGGATGCCTAATTAATTTGATGTCATAAAATGTTAACAATTTAATAATTGTACAATTTGAACAACAATTAAGGCCATATGAAATGTTTTGTCAGTGTTATCAGTTTTAATCTAAGTTTTATGATTTCATACAAATTTATTAGGCGGCCTATTTAAAAAATGGTAGCATTCAAATAGTAGTATAAATATTTAATAAGTTAATTGATGTTTTAAAGTGTTTTAAAATTAAATTTTTTTATTTACAGTTAAATTAAAGCATTGACAAAAATGGGACTATTATTGTTGTTATTATTTTGTACATTCTACTGTGCGATAGTAATATATTTCAGTTATTGTTTCTACAGGTTAATCCAAATTTTTATTTTAGTAGGTTGTAGTGAAGACCGTTGAGTTTCTCTTTGTATCTAATGATAATTTTCTGAAATTAAACGGTAAAATGCTGTTAAAGTGACCTTCAGAGAAGCTGTAGAGATGAAGTTCATGTGTTCATGTTCTCATATGAGCCAGCAGATGCTGAAAACATCACAAGTGTCACTAGTGTTTCAGAATGTGTAATAGACAAAACCGCGGCATTCATTCACAGAGACACGCAGAGCATGCAGGATTCATATTTAAATAGTCTT